CATGAGCAACTCGCTGAAATTGACTATGGAAAGGACTCTGTCCAAGGACGTATAGCTGGAACATCGCCTTCGACACACTTGTTGAATAAAATCCGCTCCCACTGTGCCCCTTGCGGTCAGCCTCTGGGCACCGGAAGGTCCCAGAGGGTTTTTGATATGTATTATTCATTTGTTATGTCCTGTACGTAATTTTATTGATACATGTTGGATTTAGGATTTTATTTTCACACAAGTGCCTATGTATATATGTGACCTCTCGATCATGTGACCTAGAAGATCTATTGTGATTACCCTCATCCAGTTTTAGTCCTCTAACCCTAGACTTATAACATGGAGCCTAGAGTGTTTTTCATTGATTCTTTCACCTCAACAGGCGTCAGATAGACCTGTTCTAGGTGATTCAGTCTTTGGCGGACTAATTTTATCATATTGAAGAATATATATTTGCCAGTGAAGTGTTAGGGTGACAACATTTTCTATTGTTTTGTATTATACTGTCTTATACTTGTCTCTGTGTGTTAAATTTCAGAGTAAAGTTTTTAAAATCTTGTTTTCAAACTGTAACGAATCTGATGTGTCCTTGAAATTTTTAATCTGTATAATATTGTATTACTGCTCATTCAATATTCTGAAGTTCTACCTAAATCATGACTTGTCACAAACATCTCAAATTGTAACGTGATCAAATAAATCTACTTTACTAAAGTTCTACCTAAATCATGACTTGTCACAAACATCTCAAATTGTAACGTGATCAAATAAATCTACTCTACTCTACTCTACATTACATGAGCAACAGGTATCTATTATACAAGGGAAAAATATAGTAGATTTTAGCTCGAGGTTGAGCTGAAATCTAATATTTTTCCCGTGTATAATACACTTATTTTTTCTGTGATAGGAAAAACGACGATTCAATGTTGAGAAGATATTACATTATATATAAAATCACAAAATTATCGACATGAAATTTGAAGGTTTTAAGAAGTTACACCTGCGTTGCAGGCATCTTCTTGCTGGCATCTTTATCATTGTTTTGAAGTAATCAAATATCTGTCAGTCTAATTCTGTGATTTGATTTCGAAAAAGTATTGCGAACTCAGTGGTTGTAGACTATCTTACGTAACCGCGAAGTGGAATGGAAGATAAAAGGACTTATGCAGTTCTTTCTCGGAGACGGTGTTATTTTATTTTTCGAAACTAGCAGAACAGAAGCCATCATCAGTGTATACAGGGTAATTCAGGTTTTAAGGTACAAACTGAAATAGGTGATAGATCTCTTCATTCTAATCAAAAAAGTTTGCATAAATATGTGTCCCATTTCGGAGCTACAGGGGGTCAAAGCTTAATTGTTTTATTCTATCAATTGAAATATCTCGCGCACTCCTGATGGAGATATCAATTCGAAATTTGGTTTGGTCAATACTTCCTAGAAGATCATCATTTGGAGCATATCGAAGATTTTCAAAATCTACAAGGTGATACCTTTTTGGGGGGTAGAATTTTATTTCCCCCAAACTTTTTTGTAGTACGCCTCAAAACCTGAATCACCCTGTATATATATCCGGGAAAATAGTACTTACTTTTTTACGATTGGAAATTTATAGGAAGTGACATTTTATGACCTGTTAACTGAGATGAAATGTCAAACTTTTTTCCCGTCACGGAAAAAAGTAAGTATGTGTTCCGCGGTTTCGATCGCGTGAAACCTCAGGGGTGCGTTCGATTTTCGACTCTCAGAATAGAGTAAGGTTAGTTGAGGGTTTTATCAGTTTTCTCTGAGTTGATTACTATTCCATGTAGTATTCGAACGAAATTTTCAGTATCGTTTATTGACATCTGAGCGAAGATGTGGGTTATGTTGGGCAAGTTGCTAGTTTAGTTCTTTGCAAATATATAATGTTGAGTGCCGTTTATCAATGTTGAAACCATGCGATGTGTACTGCTATTATAATAAAAAAACATGAACAATACATATCAAAACATGAAGATCATCCATGTCTCAAAGTGTCAATGAAGAATACGAAAAAACATGAAGACAGTCCACACTTTATAACGTGAAAATAAATTAACAGTTCTGTTACCGGTTTCGGCGCTACGGTCATCATCAGACAATACATAGTACCTGTGAAAATTGATATAATGATAATGATCTTGAGAAGGGAATAAAAGACTTCATCAGTTTAAATTTTCTCCTGAAGATGCTAACATAGTTAGCGAAACACCTGTCGAGGTGTAAAAAATCGATTTGATCAGTGGTGGAACAGTGTGTAGTGTATTATCGTGCCAGAGGTTCCAATCTTCGATATATCAATAGATAGCGGTCAGGTCAACCAATCTTCAAGAAAAGGAAACAATAGTCTAATACCCAACAACTACATGCCAATTGCCCTCCTATCCGGTCATCTCCAAATTGATGGAGAATGCCGTCAACATTGAACTCATCAAATATATAGAAAGCTCAGGAATCATTAATGATAGACAATATGGCTTTCGCCACCAAAGATCAACTGATTTACTTGCCTACGTCACCCATATATGGCAAGCTCCAGTAGAAAAACATGGAGAATATCTATAGCTGTAGCGCTAAATATATCAAAGGCATTCGACTGTGTCTGGCACCAATGACTGTTCCACAAACTACCATCATACGGCTTACCACCTCAGCTCTGCCATCTTTTATCAAGTTTTCTTTCAGGCAGATCCCTTCATGAGGTGGTGGACGAAGTATCGTCTGATACCATTGCCATCAATTCCGGCATTCCTCAAGGATCAATCTTGGCACCTACATTGTTCCGACTTCATATAACGAAATATTGGGAGCAACCACTTGCCCTATCCAGAGCTTTGCAGACGATATTACTCTCGATACTGCGTCCTCTTCGAGAATTCCTATATTTTTCCAGGAAACTGAGAACCTACGACGAAGACAGGCTAACGCTGTCAATGAAGATCTTGAGGAAATTACAGCTTGGGAAACCAACAACCTAGTTGAATTCAACGCCACCAAAACTCAAGCCTGTATTTTCTCTAGAAAGGCGGAACTCGCAGTATGCCTGATATAACAATGTCTGGTACCAACATTCCCACCGAGACCACTATATCGATGCTCGGTATTTCCATCAGCAATACTCTTTCATGGAAAAATCATGTCCGATCCATCGCGAAAGCTGCTTCACGAAAACTTGGATTTTTATTCCGTGCAAAAATCTACTTTACACCTCAAAAGCTTCTCAGGATCTACTAACCAGAGATACGGCCAGTTTTATACTTTATACTTTTCTTACATATGGGATTCAGCTCTCACTTCTCTGGAACACCGTAGGAAAGTTGGCGATCTTACTCTATTTTATAGATATTTTCATGGACGATATGCTCTTCTGAAATATCAACAATTGTTCCTCCCTTGGCAGTCCCCGCGAGATTAACCCGTCGAGTTGAGGCTTCGCACCCCTTCGTGGTCACTTTGGAGACCTGCAGAATATCTCTTTCCAATGACTCGTTCATTGCCAAGGTAGGTGTTCCCCGAGGCATACAACCTCCAGAAATTTAAGAAGAACATCAATTCCTACATTATTTCCCTTGGTTCTCACGATGTTCTCTGAACATTACAGGATATCCTTTTTCGTGGGAACCAGAACATAAAAAAAACACCCAAACATACACTCATGCTCTTGGATTCGATCCAGAGAAGAGGTATCCGCCTGGTGGGTGATAGCACACTCACTAATGCTTTGACTTCATTAGAACACCGTAGAAAAGTCAGCGACCCTTTCGTTTTTTTATAGACACTTCCATGGAAAATTTTTCCCAGAAACATCTGATATAATTCCATTACTACCAATACCCCTCAGACGGACTCGACAGGCCCAGCCAGCACATCTTTGTTGTACCAAAACTCGATCGTCTATAAAACGGCGAAGTTGTGAAATCTTTGCCAATGGAAGTATTCCCAAAAACTTATAATCTCCACCCTATCCTTCCTATAGATACGCACAATGTTTTCCGAATATCATAGGAATTTCCTTTCGTGCGCTCCAAGAGAAAAAATTATGGCGATGAAATCAATCTGATAGGTTAATGGTCCATTGTGATTTTATATACCGGGTATCGGGCCACCCCTGTAACTTCTGCATTCGTAAACGGATTTTCCTGAAATTTGATACAGTTATATAAGCAACCATTTCGGATTTGATCACATTACAATCCAATATGGCGAACTTTCGGTTTTTCTGGAAATGCCAGCAACTTTTTTGTTTGTTTCACATGTAGTACTCAATTCGAAAATGTGACCATATATTTATGGAACACCCTGTGTAGATAAGCAGGAATAATTCCATTGCCTGTTATGGAACAAATAGGTAATGTTTGATAATGCGATTTAGCAATCCCTGTATTGTAAGAAGACGATAACCAATAAATATGTATATTTGCCATTGTTGCGTTGAGCCAAGTATTCATGAATACGAATTATCCTAATTTTGAATGAAATCTGCCAAAAACCCGAGAAATATTCCAAGATATTCATTTGGGTCTATTCGTGCAAAATGGAAAATCAGTAAATACTCAACCGAATTATTTGGGGATCTTGCAAAATGAAATTTTTGACAAATTCCATCCGAATGGTGAAAATTCGTTGGCATGAAAACGTCATTGGCTTCATTAACACAAGTATTTTGCTATAGACTAATCAAATCGGTTCGAATCCGGCTATCGGCTGTGCATTTTTCTTTGAAAAATGTGTGATTCATAGTCGTAATCCTGGAAGCACCTCGATACCCTAGAAGTTTTTTTTTTTTTTTTTTTTATCGATTGGAGCGCACGAAAGGGAATCCCTATAATGTTCCCTATAATGTTCAGATTCCACTATAAGCTGTAGATCCCGCTCCCCCTAACCCCGCACAAGTTTCGACTTCTGGGGAGTTCGTTCCCAACTTTGAAATTCAGCCCGTGCACTGCTATTTGCACTAAGTATAACATTTAACTTAATTCCTACTTACCAATGAACTGATGCTCCATAGAAGTTAGGAATATAGCATTTTAAGTCTGTAACAAAATAAAATATATTAGTAATGAATTCTTGGAAAAGGACACATTTATTCTAGGTATATTATGTCGACATGCATGTATATCGATCATAAGGCCACTCCCTTGAGAACAAGAATCGATAAATCCAAAAATAGTTTTATTAGGTAGGTATTCCGCAAAATCTCATAATTTTTTTTCTGCTCAAATCAACTCATTGGAAGCCATCATTCTATACAGTGTGTTCGAGTTATGAACATATATTTACAGGGTCAGTATGCTGAAATATTTTTTTCCAAGCATATATGATTAATATACAGGGTGTTTCAAAAAAACGTAACCCCCTTGCTAGAGTAGGTAGAACATTGCAAAATGAGTTGGGTTTGCTCAGTAAAAAAATGTCGTAACGCCAACCGTTTTCAAGATACAAGGTGTTGAAAAATTATTTTTTTTACACATCTTTTACGATTATGTTTGAAACTATACTTACAACATTGTAATGAAATTTTGTATGGATGTGATTTGAAAGCTGACACATCGCATGAATTTGTTTTGTTATGTTATGTTCAAAAGTACTCGGTACGAACCGTGTAACTAGCGTCCTCTATGAGTGTCAGATATAAAAACAAATTCATGCGGTGTTTCAGCTTTCAGAACACATCCATACGAAATTTCATCACAATGTTGCCAGTAGTTTCGACATAATCGTAAACAATGTGTAAAAAACTATTTTTTCAACACCTTGCAAGGGGGTTAGGTTTTTTTGAAACACCCTGTACATTATCACATTTCGTTTGAAAGTGAATAATTCTTATAGTATGGTTTCAGGTTTCAAAAAAATGTTCAAAATATTGTTTCATATGATAACAATAATGGCAGGAATAACGCAGTGGGTTGAACTCGAGCTTTTGACCCTAGAGTGCTAGTCCCCAGTCAAGGAAAGAGCCTTAACAATATTCTGATTTTATGACTTATATGACTTATATGGATATGGATCCGGAAGATTCAACGATCTATTCACCGTTCTATTCAAACAGTGCTGCTAAAGGGGCGTATAGAGTTAGTAACAAAGTCGATGTACCCCTCAGGGTGAGCTAGTATGTGCCATATGTAGTCAAATTATATTGATAGCAACAGCCACTTTAATTGCCTGTAAATGGTAAATAAGTTTTCACATACAGGAACCGGAAGTGAATTTTGTTTTGCTCTAATAAGATGGATGGATTTTTAACGGACTCTAAATATTTTTATCTTCAGGAAGATTCTCTGAGTATACAATTAAATTAATTGATATATACTTTGAAAAGACCCAGTGAATTGTTTTTTCACGAATTGGTGAACAAATAATAATTCGAATAGATACATCAACTCGTTATTAGAATTCAATAAGATACATTTTTAACTTCTTATCACTCAGACTTTTGTATCTGAGGCAGAAGCCTTCAGACAATCCGATTAAATAAAATATCTAATAATATAATATTCTTTGTAATATTGGAAGTATTTTCAGTCATAATATAACAAGAGCTTGAAACATGTCTTCCCTCGTATGGTATTCGGTACCTTCTCGACTGTAAAAAGATATTCTCTTAATTATCTTCTTCTCTAGAAGAATTCCGGAAACTATTAAGGCACTATGCCTGATATAACAATGTGTTCCTACAAAATCCACCATATAGCCTATGCTTGGTAGGAGGCTTGGTATTTCCATCAGCATACTCTTCCATGTGAAAATCATTTCAGATCCATGGCGAAATGCTTCACCAAAAAGTCGGATTTTCAATTCGAGATAAAAGCTACTTCACACCTCAACAGCTTCTCATGATATACAAAGCACAGATACAGTCTGTTTTAGAATAGTTCATCAAAATTCATCAATTACAATTTCTTAGCCAACTGCGATCACAAAAACTCCAGCAAAATTGAAGAAAACGAATAAGGCATTTTTCCACACAAATTTTGATGTAAGCAATTGATTCGGACTAGTCACAAATACTCTTATAACAATTTTCAAAACAATATCTCATACGGGGTGTTTTTTATCAACGTTACAATTTTTGAATAATTGCACTTTTCAAGTCACCATGCATAATAATTCTTAAAATTTGAATGATATCAGGCATGATGGTAGTTAGGATTAAAACATTCGGCTACAGAGTGAAACAAATAACTGATAAAATCACTGAATATTAAGATTTTTCTATCAAGAAATAAATAGAAAACCAAATGATACATATCAAAAAATTATACATCAAAAATTAGACAAAGAAAAAAACATCAATTATTCCTAACAAGTTCAAATTGTTTTATTCTCGATCAAATCTCCATTCTTTACCCACTTTTCATATCTCTTTCGTACGTTATTTTCAATTCTCTTCAGTTCTTCTGGCGGTATCTCTCTGCAAACGGTGTATTTGTCGTGATTAACTCTTCCCTATTATCTTTCGTCCTCAATTTGTGAACCTTGCAGGAGAGTTGAAAATAACGTACGAAAGGGACATGAAAAGTGTGTAGAGAATGAAGGAGATTCGATCGAGAATACAAAAATTTGATTTTATAATAATAATAATAATAATAATAACTCGTCTTCATCCATCATATGCAGGAAAATAAAAAAATAAAAAATATAACTCATTAAAGATCCCATATCCTGTCTGCAAATGCTGAATAGGCGGAGTATCAGCAAAAAGCTGTTTTTCAACTCAACCTTTTGTTAGGAATAATTGCTGTTTTGTAATTTGTCTAATTTTTTTATGTTTATTTTTGATAGGTATCATTTGGTTTCTATTCATTTCTTGATGAAAAATGTTTATAAAAAACACCCCGTATGAGATATTGTTTTGAAAATTGATATAAAAGTATTTGTGACTAGTCCGAATCGATTACCTACATCAAAATTTTTGTGAAAAAATGTCTAATCCGTTGTTTTCAATTTTGCTGGAGGTTTTGAGATCGCAGTAGGCTAAGAAATTGTAATTGAAGAATTTTGTTTGCTCGAAAAAGTAGATAATTTTGAGTAGTATACTGTAAGAAAAAAAATTTCAAATCGCCCTAGGAATACGAAAGTAAAGGGGTATGGGGTGGACCAAATTGTAACACACTGTAGATACTTCCACGGGACAGTGTTCAAAATAAAGGCATCACACGTTTGTAACTTTCGTGGAAAATAAAAGTGTTATGATACAATTTCATCACATTTGATGATCATATTATGTTATGATTGAAATAAGATACACATACACGAAACGATATGCACAAAACTCAAAATATACATAATCCAAATTCACGAATACACAAGATAATATGTTCGGAATTAACAAGCTCCATCGATTTCTTTAGAAGAGGTAGAAGTGGTAACAATAGGTAGGTACTTTCAATGAATGTATTATGATTTATCATACGTATTATGTACAATTGCATCGGATTAGTGCGTTTCGAGAGATTTCGAACGTTCCATTCATTCAATCTACAGTCTGCTCTCTATATGTATATATACCCACTCGAAATCGGAAATTGGGGAACGTATGTACAACAGACCGTAAACTTACAAAAGACAACCGATAGGTATATTATACAATGTTATACAATGGAATGGGACGCCCAGGGAGCGATAAAACCGAGTCCCTCTCCCACAGTGTTTGAGGGGATGAGTAATTGGCCAAAAATAGTTCCTATGTTTATTACATAATTAATGTGAAGTGAAACATATATCTCGCCGTTAAAAGTTCAGAACGAGCCGCATATCATGACGAGGAAATGCACTTTCCAACAGTGAAGTAGTCATTCAATGCAGGAACACATCGATTACATATGGTATTGGTATTGGTAGGTTGGATGGTGACAGATGCGCTGCGACCCAATTAGATCTATTGTGCCCCATCTGCTCCTGCTATATCAAGGATTTCTTGTTCATAGCAGCCCCTCGAGATTCAATTCCTTCAGGAATTTGAGGATATTGAGGGGGTCTAGCTGTGGTATTTCTTCCACAGTCAGCTGGTGTGTTCCCGGTATGTTCAATCTTTTGTGATGTACAGCGTCACACTCCATCAGTATGTGATGGGGTGTTTCTGGTTCTTCCTCACAGAATCTGCAGGTGCCGTCCTCCTGTAAGCCTAGCTTCCTTAGGTGTTCTTTGATTCTGCAATGTCCCGTTAGAAATCCCGTTATTGCTTTGAGACTTCCTTTGCTGAGGTTTGTCAGTGTCTTAGATCTTTCTCGGTTGAAATTTCCAAGGATATCTTTAGCCTGCCGTAGTCCTGGAAGTCTTCTCCATTGTCTGGCTCTCCAGGCTCCTTCCGCCTTCTCAAGTTCTCCTTGGAAATAGGAATTTCCAAGGCCGCAGAATGGCTCTGGTCCGATCAGTGGCGTTGAAACCCCTTGTCGTGCCAGAGCGTCTGCTTGTTCATTCCCCTCCACTCCGATATGCCCTGGCACCCAGAGGAGGATCACTTTATTGTTGCTGCCTAGCTCATTCAATTTGCTTAGGCATTCCCATACCATCTTCTAGTTGATGTAAGGAGAACTCAACGCTTTGATGCGGCTGCTTGGCTATCGGATAAAATCGCGATGTCCTTCTTCCGGTATTTCCTGTCTAGGTTGAACTGGATGCATCTTCCTATGGCGTGTATTTCCGCTTGAAAACTGCTGGGAAATTGTCCCATGGATTCGAAGTATTTGGTGCGAGGCCCAAAGACTCCTGCTCCAGTTCCCTCGGGTGTTTTAGACCCGTCCGTATACCAAGTAATGGTGTTCCTTCCCAGTGATTCGATGGATTCTGTGCTCCATTCGCGCTTGTTGCTCAGCTCCACTCGGAAGTTCTTCTCAAAACTGAACTTCCTAATGATTTGGTCTGTTGGAAGATCGGCGAGGTGTGCGATCTCAGTGGGGGATGAGCCCCTTACACTGTGCGTTTTCCCTCTTAGTCCGACCTTGGCTAACCTGAGATGTGCTCCATAGGCAGTTCTCCTCACCACGATGTGTAGAGTTGTGAGATCCAAAATGACCTCTAGTGCTGCTGTTGG